GCCCGGGGGTCTGTTTGTGTATTCCCACAGGATGGTGAGTCCCCAATTTGGGTTCCAGAGCATTGTGTGTGCTCTGTTCCTGCTGATACTCATCAGTCACCTATAGACTCATTAGGCTTTAATGAGGAACCCGCCTGTCCTGATGCTGGCAGGTCTTCAGAGTCAGGTGTATCCAGCTATAATCAGCCTCAACCATAGCCTAGGAAAGGCAGCTCTCAGGATGGATTTGCCTGCTTAGACATTTACTATATTCAATAACACTCCATCGGAAGAAATGCTTAATTATTCCCTCCAGGAATGTCGCTTGAGAAGCTGTTGATCAGCCTTGGTGGTCCATGTTCCAGGTGTCATGCCTATTCCAGTGGAACACTCAGGAGAGAACCAACTCCTCTTCACATGACACAGGAGAGACTTTGACATCATGGTGGCTGCAGTTTGTGGCTTCCCTGTCTCGTAGCCAGTTGCCACGGCGGGCATGCTGGATAAACCCCCAGGGGAGGATGCCTCTATCTTAAGTCCCCAAATTTATATTAATTACAATTGGACACTTTACATCTTAATTAACAAATGGACTTAATTGGCTACTCTAAGACCAAGGTGCCTCCCTTTTGGGAGACCCCCTCTTAACAGGACTGCAACAGACAGGTCTATTACTTAAGAAATGGAGTGGGTCCCTAGCCCTCAGGATTAAGACCCTGGGCAACACAGTCTTTAGCCCTAGTTTGCCTTTGTCACATGGAAAGGCCACAAGCCCAGCACCATTTTCATAGAAAGCAGATCATGCTTTCCTTGGCAACAGACAACCCCTCAGTGCAGGCCTGGTTGAGCCAGCAAGACAAATGAGTTATCAATGACAGGTACATCCTGGGAGACATCTATCAACCTAAGACAGAGGGTTTGTGAGACCTGGACAGACTTGTCATTGATGGGCAAGATAGATGTTAATGTCCTGGGCTAAATCAGATGCTTATTTTTTAACTATATATGAAAGGGGGATTTGTTGCACCCTTCCCCCATGGGGACTGTTGACTGCTTGTTACTAGGAGCTTTTAACAAAACACTTCTCATCCCCTCCTCCCAGTAAGGCCTGCATGCAAGTTCCTGTTTATTGTCTAAATGCTAATTCCTGTTTTGGGCTCACCCTTTGCTGGAGAGCACTGGGAACGTAGGCTTCTGACCTTGGTGGTTTTCCACCATGCCTGCTATTGGTATATAATGCTCAGCTCTTGTTAAAATAAACACCATTCTCCTTGTAAGAAGGAACCGCTGTCTTTGTCTTCATTTACATCCTTAGCCCTTCACCCAGATCGCTATGAAGTGTTGTAGCACTGTAGCTGTGAATACCAATGGCTTGCTACAGTATACCGAATTAAAAGTCAATCTCAAATGAAAAAATAAATAAATAAATAAAACAAGTGTGCATATGTATATATATTTGTTAGAATATATGTATATTATTTGTTAGAATACATATGTATACATGTAGTTGTTAGACTATATATATATGTATGCATATACATATATAGATAGATATAGATATAAATGTGTTAGAAAAAATATATTTGGTTTTTTTGAAACAGGGTGTCACTATGTAGCTCTGGCTGTCCTGGAAATCACTACATAGACCAGCCTGGCCTCAAATTAACTCTGTCTGCCTCTGCCTCCCAAGTGCTGGGATTAAAGGTGTGCACTACCATGTTGGGTTTTCTAACTAAAACATTGGCAGAAATCAATGAGCTTCCAAGCCTCAGGTGTTCTTTTTCATTTTGGACCCAAAAGCCCCTGTACTCAGCCAGATTGGTCCAGAAGCTTTGTGAACGACTTCCAAAAACATTACCATGAAGAACGTATTGTGCAAATGAGCATGGCTGGCTCACTGGTTTGCAGTAAGAAAAATGAGGCACCCTGACCCTTATCTTAGCTTTCCAGAAGCTTGTAATGCAGTTTCAGGGGTGGTGGTGGTAAAAGCTGAAAAGTGACTGTGACCTAAGACAGCATGTGACAGTGAGAACAGTGCTGCAGGCCAGGATTGCCCATGAAAAGAGGGGGAGAGCGTTCCCAGCTAGATTGACTGGGGAGATTTCTGGGACTAAGTTGAGATTTGCTAAGTCTTGGGTGTAGGGAAGCAATTTCCTAGGTTCTGGGAAAGGCAAGCCAACAGACATGATGAGATCTGGGGATTCGGCAAGGCTCTGAGCACCCATGCTGATTGAAAGGCTTCACAGGGTAGAAAGAGCGAGCACGGGGTAGGTGGGGAAGGGGGAGTGCGCCAAGTAGAGAAGCACAGGTCTGTGCAACAGCCACTAGGGTGCACTGGGGACCGAGAAGAGGACTTCCATGATGAAAATAGTGCTGTGGTGAGGTCAGTGGGTCCTGTGAGTTGAGACTGATGTGGGAAGGACCCGGCCAGGCTTGCTCAGGTAGCGTGTGATACAGGTGTGGAGTGATAAACACAGGCAAGGCTATTCTGAAAGGTAGCTGTGTTGAAAGCTTGCATGTTCAGGCAGGAGAGGAAGGAATGAACAATTCTGCAAGATTCTGAGTCTGCAGGGTCGGGAGAAAGAGAAACACATGGAGGTGGGGGTCACCGATGCTGTAGCATTTCCATCTAAGCAAACTTTTCATCAGAGGAAGGAGACTGCTCAGGGCTGCAATGCTTGAATCTGGATGGTCCTCTGGGAGACAATGGACGAACTGTTCGTCTGGAATCATTATTTAACTCCTGCTCCAAGTACGTGCATGTGTGCGCATGTGTGTGTTGTTGGGGTACCCCGAATTGAGGAGGGGTCCCCAAGCTGGATTCGTCACCCCAAGAATCAAGAGTCCATGCGCCAATTGATGCAACACGCAAGAGGCTTTAATTAGGCATCTGCAGATGGGCCTCTCGGTCAGCTTTTAGACCGATTGGCCCCGAGGTTCAGTTACAATCAGCTTTTAAAGACAAAAACCACAAGCCTTTGGGAGGGGTCCCTATCTTGTGACGGGGGGGGGGGGGCGGGGTACGTGACTACTGACCAGGGGAAGTAGATGTCTTCCTGACCTACACGTTGTAAATTTCTCAAACCTTGGTATGAGTTAATCATCTCTCCCTAAGTAAATGGTGGTTATCTCTCCTTGTTTCCCACAAATCTTGTTTGCCCATCTCTGATGCCCTGGTCAGTTCTTCACAGGTGGTCAGCAGCCTAGAATTTGGCCTTTTGTGGGTTTACAGCCCTTCTGCAATTAAGGTTGCTAAAACATACATTCCATTCTGTGGTTTGGCCAGTTCCTGGGATGGGGTCCTTTGTTCACTTCCCAAGTTCTCTAGTGGGGTGCCCTCCCTGTTTAAGCTTATATTTTATTTCTATAAATTCGGGGTCTTTCAGTGTGTGTGTGTGTGAGCACGTGTGCGTGCAAGTATGTGTGTGGAAGTCAAAAGTGTAGCTCCTCAGGTGCCACCCACTTTTTCTTGAGATGGATCTGACCTCTTATTGGCCAAGAGCTCATTCAATAGGGTAGGCTGTCTGGCTAGCCAACCCTAGGGAACCCCAGGCTCGGTCTCCCAGTGCTGGGTTACAAGTGGGTGTCTCATACCTGGCTTTTTGTGTGTGTGTGGGGGGATCTGGGGATTGAATTCAGTTACTTGTGCTTACAAACCAAGCACTTCACTGACTGAGCCGTCGTCTCTCTCCAGACTCTCACCCCCTTTTGAGACAGTGCCGAGCCATCGTCTCTCCCCAGACTCTCACCCCCTTTTGAGACAGTGCCTTGCTATGCAGCACACGTTGACTCAACTCATTATGTTGCTCTTACTAGTCTTACTCTTGTGATCCTCCTGCCTAAGTTTCCCAAGTGCTGGGAATACAAGCATGAGACACCATGCCCAGCCCAGACTGACCAGTTGTTGGTGAGACTCTCCACACACACCTCTACTGACTGTCTGGCTTCCCAAACATCCACTGCTGATAAAATGCTGTCAAACTTCGGTGTCTGGGTCTGAGACCGATGCATGCCCACCTACTCTGGCAGGTTTGAGAAGTTTAAAAGGTAGGGTGGATATTTGTGGTCACTTGCTACCCCATCACAAATACCCTATTCTCAATAAAATTCTGATTTTGACATAAAATGAATCTCCCTCCAGCCCCAATCCTTGTAATCCAGGAGAATGTGTCCTACTCCCAGATTTGGGGCTGTGACCCACTTGGTGATGATCCCAGAATGAGTCCTGAACCGGAATTTAGTGTTGTTTGGTCCATGAGAAGGCAGCGTGTCTTGTTGTTTCTTGCCAGACTTAAGCCTATAGGATGCATATGTCATGTTGCCATGTGGATCCTGTGTGCAGTACAGCAGGAACAATACAAACGGTCTCTTTAGTAACTGTATTTGGTATTTAGAATGCCCCGTAGAGCCAGTATCTATGTCCCTGGTTAGCCTGAGGTCCCCACATTAGAAATCCATTTTCAGTAAGACAGGTGAAGGTGAGTAAGAGTGGGGGCTGCAGTCCATGTTCTCCTTGAGACCAACACTCTTTTGGCCCATGTGCCTTTCCCCAGGGAAGATCATGGGTTGCACACAGTGCCCGTTGGAGAGCCAAAGGTGGGATGGGCACTTGAGCTTACAGTAGCTTCCCGATGCTGTGTGCTGTTAGCCAATGATGCTCTGTGTACATCTGTCAGTCTGGTCTGAAACTGGCTTTCAGGGTTCTGTTCCCAGACAGTGAGGTGAGGGAGGGACATAGAGTCCTCATGCTCTTTTCCTTTAAGTGCTTGTGTCCCACACTTGTGGGATGAACAGTTGTTCTGAAGAAAACAGGTTCTGTTGACATTGGGGCAAGAGTTCGACTGTTTGCCCCCGGCTCTCTCCAATTAGGGAATAATGCGTTCTGTTCTAAATTAGGCCACTCTTTAACACCCGTGGGAGGCCTAATTGTCAGTTCACAGGCTAAGCGCATGACAATATGGGAAGCAACAGCACGGTGATCTTTAGTTTCTGTCATTCTGTACAAACAGAACCACAACAGCTTTTGAACAATGTAATTCACTCCACTTTATTCTGGATGCATATTACAGATAAAACTCGAAAACATTCCAGTGGACACTGAAAGCTAAGGCCATTCTGTGAGTTATTTTTTAAAACTTGGTGTTCCCCACATAATGATCTTTTAAAAGTGAGTTACCAAATCCAAGACTCTGAAATAAAAGCTTAAGGTAGGTACAAGACACCTTGAGAGCCACATCTATCTCAAGTTCATTGAGTGGCCAAGTCAGTTTCATCCTCTACAGTGTAAGAGCCCTAAGCAGCCACTAGCTCACCGCCCAGCGCCCTTCAAGTTGCAACATAGTGTTTTGTTTCCAGTGACCAGTGTTTTGACACCATTTTTCCTCCTAGTGAGTGACAAGGAGAGACTTTATCTAAGAACACGCTATACAATTCTTGGAACAGGAAAAAGAAAGGGACCCGTAACTAAGGCACTGAAAGCACATTATTTTATATAAAGAAATGTAAACAATTTAACACCAACGGGATCCCTCCAGTAGTCTCTATCGTGACTGTGCCAGAGCATCTCTGCCGGCCAGAGCCTGAGAGCTGGTGAAATGGGAATCTGTTTGTCCGCAGACCTCGGGCTTGGCTACAACACATGGTCTGCACATGGACTGACAACCGTAGAATGCGTGAGTGGGAGAAGCTAACTGTCTCCTGTGCAAAGAGGCAGGGTTTACTGAATCCTAAGTGAGCTCATTTCGTTTGTTTCAGCCTTCCCTCGTGTTGTCCGATTCCTCGGGCTCGTTTCAAAGACACCTAGAGTGACAACTTGTCACCTAGCTGGTTCCCCTCTTTATTGGTTTATATTTTAAAGTGAAACGGTTTACATAATAAATAACCCACAACTAACCTACTTAAAATCTCTCAGAATGGGGTCAACTAGCCAACTAGTGCTGTGAGCATTTCAGTCCCTTAGGCTCATGGACAAGGGAGCAGCTCTGCTATAGCAGGACGGCCAGCATCGAAGAGCTCTAGCTGAAGGGTGGAGGGTGAGGCAGGGACATTCCTAAGGCTGACAACCATCAAGGATGGATTTAAAGCGGTTCTAAGCTCAAAATCATATATGTTTGTGTGTGTGTGTGTAGGTATATGTCATATATATTTATATATATACATATAACATATACATCTATACATATTTAACATATATATGTTAAATAAAAGGTTTTAACATGGCTAAATATGTAAGAACAAATAATTTTAAAACTTTTATTTAAAAAGGGATTTTCTTTTTCCTTTTGAAGAAATTTAAAGCAATTTCTCTAGTTTTAGTGCTATACTTAGAATCTTGAATTTGGGGTAGATAAATAAGATTGAGGTATGATTTCTATGATCTAAAGGAGGGAGTTCTTTCCTTTTAAGGGGGAACAAAAGTGAAGAGTCTGAGGGCACACGATGAGATGGACACCACTGCTGGGAGCTTCCGGGTACTGTGGCCATAGAGAACAGTTTTTACCCGGAGAACAAAAGTAATTTTGATTGCTAGGTATTTCCATGTTTAAATGTGATCCATGGAAGTTGTAGAAAAAAGCTTGAAATTAGAAGTCTTTCCCATTAAGGGAAAGAAAAAAATGTTCTTTTTCCGTGTGTTTTTAACCTAAAACCGTAAAGTCAAACAGCTGTGCTGAGAGCAGGTGAGCAGTCACTAACTCACAGTCACTAACTAGTAAGCTCCTGGCAGTGAGCTTCGGCAGAGCAGTATCAGGCTGGTGTTTTCACTACAGGCACCACTTAACACTCCCACATTTTAATAAACAAACTCCAAAAACCAAACTAGGCGAGACACACTGACGGTGCTCTGTCCATCAGGGCTTTCTCAGAGAAGGAGCAGGACGGTGAATCCCATCTGAGTACACAGGGCAGTGGCCGCTGTTGAAACTGCCCAGCAGAGGGTGGGGAAGGGTGGCATGTTTGCTAGCAGCCAAACAGTTTTATGTGCCTCTGTCCCCATCTCTGCCCCAATCACATGACAAAGACAGGACCAGACAGTCAGTGGGAACAATGGCCAGCCACATGCCTCTTCCCCAGGGCACTGTGGCTGTTTGTCTGCTGGCTTTTCACGACTTCCAGATGACAGGAGTATTTGGCAAACAGTTGGTCAGTATGGGTTCAAATGTTACTATTGAAGAGAATTAGAGAGGGAGTCCTTGTTCTCATGGAAAGGGCTCGTTCTAGGTTAGCATTTTGGTTGATCAAGGCTTGGGGGCTTTGGATATACCATCCTGTCCGTGGGCATTTTTGTTAGAGCTCTAATGGCAAAAGGTGGACACCCTACATGCCCAGAGCACATACCTGCCTTCCAGTATGTGTAAGTTCTAAAGAAGTATTTCATAAGACCGTTTCTGTCTGAAATGCCAGAATGTTCTTCTAATACATCTTCACACGAGTCAGTTGACACTAAAGATAAAGTTACAGCTGCAGGAGATCAGGACTGAATGTACTGAAGAACAAGCAGAGTCACTTTCTGTCCTTTAGAACCCAAATGGAGAGCCTGAGCTCCCTGACAGAGTGCGGCGTGATTCCCAGGTGAGGAAGGGGTCTCCTGCAGGCTCCTCAGCTAAGACACTGTAACGGGAAGGCTGCCTCCCCGTGATGGTCATCAGTTTAGGACAAGACAATTCTGGTTTGGGGTTTGACTGCTGTAAAAGGATGAAAGGATAGACAGACAGTGCCTCGCTGCTGGGGGGGTGGGACAGACGGACGGACAGATGGACGACAGCTGCCTCCCGTGTTCATGTGCTGGCCTGCCTGCCTGCGGGCTGGCCCTTTCTGTTCATGTGCTAGGCTGCCTGCGGGCTGGCCCTTTCAGAAAAGCTTGCATCTTGTCTCAACAGCTTGCTGATTGTTTTTAATATTCTGACCCAAGTTATTCACAGCGATCAAACCCTGCTATATATGCAGCATTGGAATTACATTCAGAGATTTTAAAGAAACCATAGCGATATTTTACCCACAAAATTAAGTGTAAAATATCTGTAACAAAGAATGATTAATAGTAAGAAACATTTGACATAGTCATGCAAAACAAAATGCATCTCGGTTTACAAAGGCTGCAACATTTCCATAATGCTCCTAGGCTTTCACATGGTGAATGCAACCATCTTACTTGTTTTTCTTTGAATTTAAATGTGGGTGCTTGTGGAAAAAACGGTAACATGCAAGTTCAATGAATTCCAGTCCACCAAATATTCTCTCCTGCAGCACGAAAAACACAATGCTGATTATGAAATACCACCAGACAGGGCTGTACCAATACACAAGCAGGCACATTGCAGAGCAGAACAGGGTCCAGTAGAGTATGGACAGCAGCTTGACCACCAGGACTCTGAGCTCAGACTTACAAGGTGGAACTGTGCTCTGCCCAGGAAAGCGGAAGGCTTTTTCTCCTTGGTAGAAGGAGCGCAGTCTCTCTTCCTTTTCTTCCCACCTCTTGTGGCACCAGAGCTGAAGGTCCTCCTTGGATGTGGGAAGGGTGTCGACTGGATACCTATGGACATGGAAGTGGATCTCCCGGGGAAAGTCTCCCCGGAGGAGGTGCTTCTCAGTTTGAGGAATGTTGTAAGGATACGCCACGGTGATGTCATGGACAGCATCGAGGTTCTTACCTAGGATTCAGAAAGATGAAAACATTTGCTTTGGCAACAGTCGGGGGTGGTAGTGCTGATTCACTCTGCCATGCAGAACACAAAGCATCAGGACAGAGTGAACCGCCACGAACAAACAGGGACTAAAAATACCAGTGTTTCTAGGTACTCAGGTCAATGTTTCTCAGTCATTTTTAGCTTTTTTTTTTCCTGTTTGGTAATTACCACAAAGACCTTCAGAAAGAAATGCTCTTCATTCCCAGAAGCGGCAATCTGCATTCTAGAACTACATGGAGATACACACACACACACACACACACACACACACACACACACACACACACACACAGAGCGAGGATAGAAGGGTATAGACTAGCTCTTCAGCCACGGGATTTGCTACACCACACTGTGTATTAACACTCATTTCATCTAAGGCAATAGGAATGTGCTTGTCTTTACCTTAAAATAAAATGACCATGAGCCTTAGAAACAAACTTGAAGAAATGAGCGTAACAACTTTGATCCTGACCTGAAACACCATTCTGCACAGTACTTAATGGACTTGTTTTTGAAGTCACACAGCAGATGATGGTGACAAAGACATAGTAAACATGGTCCCTGGTGTCGTTCAAAATATTCCCAACATAACCAGGGAAACAAGCATGCACAATATCCCACACAAGCCCATGGGGACAGGCAGAGGAGGTGGGGGAAGGAGCAGGTTCTGTAGGTGAGCGGAGAGGACACCATGGGAATGGGGCATTGAAAGCAGGCCGGGGCCCATGGTATAGGCCCTGCTGTACACTGTGTGGCAGAGCAGCATCTTGGGGGCAGTGGAGCAGAGACCAAGGGCAAACAGTGTGGCTGTCACAACAGGGCAGGAAGGAGAGGCAGAGTCACAGGAAGGGACCGTCTAAAGCTGTAACAAGAATGGATGTGACATGGTGGCCAACTGGTGGGGAGGACGGGGAGGCGGGCTTATTTTTTGCTCAGCAATGTGCTAAGGGCCTTTTGAGGTTAGAGAGCCGGTGCACTGTAAGACCTGCAGAGGACATCGGCTACCACTCAGCTGAACTCTACACACACAGGCCCTTGGTGTTTTCCCCCAAAGCACAGCACTGTTGCTGCTGTCTCTGAATGTTGCTACTATCTTCAGTGAACAAACTTAAAAGTGTTTTTATTGTATAAAACAGTGGATTTTGTTGTGACAGTTTCACACAGGCATGTAATATACTTTGACAAAACCCATGACAAACCAGATGAGGACTTAAATTTCTTACAGAAATTGATGACACAGGCAGGAGTCATGTATGGTAACAGCATTCGGAACAGTGGTTCCTACAAGGGCAGGAAGTAACTAGAAGGCATATGAGGAAATCTGGGGAGCAGCAGAAATACTCTAGACCGAGGTGTAACAGCACAGCGTTCACCTCTATTGGAATCAGACGACACCTGAGCCGAGAATATTTGACTCTGCTGAAGTTTTACTGCGATACAGTAATGGCAAAGATGTGAAGCCATTTCCCACAGCACCCTGATGGGGAAGTTCTGTGTATATGTCAATAAAACACTGTTGGCCAATAGAGAAGCAAGATAGGTGGGACTAGGAGTCGAGCAGAACTCTGGGAAGGAGAAACACAGATAGTCATCATGTAGCCCGCCAGAGAAGTAAGATGTCCGGACCTCTTTCTCCAGTAAGAGAAATACTTAAGTCAAAGATAGCCAGTAAGAAACAAGCAAACAGCCAACAGCTTCATAATTAATACAGTGTCCTGTGTGTTCATTTGGGAACTGCAACGTGGCAGAGCCCAGGCGACTGGTGGGGAAAAACCAAAGTGGCTGGCAAGGAAAAGGCTTCTCTCTACAGCACCCCTTCAGATGAACCCGTCAGTCTTGACTACACTGCGGTTTACTTTAGGGCAACAACCAGGCTAAAACCTTTTCCTTGACTGGATAGTTAATGTGGTACACAGGCTCGCGCCCTCTCCACACAGACCAGGCTCTGTTCCCTCTCTTCCCACAGCCAGTGTGCTTGCTGCCTGCTGGACCTCAACTCTCCCCTGAGTCCCCACTTTCTCACAGTGAAGAAGGGGTGGTCACCACGTCAACTAGCCTGTCAAAGTTACGTTCACATCTCACTTAAACACCTTCCCCCCAAACCCTTCTTGGACTGACTGGCATCTCAGTACTCAGTACTCCTGGCCAGACTGCAGCTCTGTGTAGCTCCCTGCATCTACTCCTCATTCTGCACTGGTTGCACATTTAACCTCTGGCTCTGCCCGTTCTTAATGCCCTAACCTTTCTCCTATAAGTGGCTCATTTGTGTGTAGGATGTATACAAGTGAGGATGCAGATGTATACAGAGGCCAGAGTAGGATGCTGGCATCTTCCTCTATCACTTGGCAGACTCTTGACAGACTCTTGCCACATTGGCTAGACTGGCTGGCTACTGCCCCTGCTTCCCAGCTATGGGGTTACAGACACACTGGAGCATGCCCAGTCTTCATGTAGGTGCTAGGGATTTAAACTCAGGCCCTTAGACTTACACAGGAAGGGGTCTTTACTCATTGAGCTAACTCCTCAGCTCCTGTAAGTAGTTCTTAATATGAAATAGTCATGAACTGTCAGAAATGATCAGAACTGTAAGAAAAGTAACTTCCTTGCTCCAGTGAGAAACTACTTTCCCACACAAGGTGTATGTGTCCCTTCATGTTTATGGGGTGATGATGCTCAGTAAATAAGCTGTACATCTTGAACAGTGACAGTACCTCAGACAGAGACCCCCTTGCCTCCCTTCCATGCAGAGCATGGGAGAGCTGGAGGGCTGCAGAAGTGACAGCTTGGGTAAAAATTCTGGCTAAGCTTCCTGAGCAAGTTACAAAGTCTCTCGGAGGCTTACTTGGCTCTTGTATCTACAAAGTATATCACTGAGAGTTAAAATAAAATATCCAGGAAAACACTCTTGATCATGGCTCATTAAGTGTTTGTGAATGCCAGCTATCACTCTCACGGGCCATCAGGTCAATAGGTAAAGCAACACTCTCTCTAGGAACAGTTGCCACCATCATGTGTCTGTGGGAAAACTGCATTCACATCCCCTCTCTGCCACTACCCATACACAGCATTGTTTACCTAGACCCCAAGGATGCCATTGCTACTCAAGATATATGTTCCAGCTGCGGTTCTACAAAGCCTCCTCCTGGATTCCTTCTGTTTCAAATATGTAATTTCTCTTGCTGAAATACCTGGTCTCAGTTTCCTTCAATGTCCATCTCTAATGAAGAGCCTTCATTAAGCACCAAGGCCCAAGGGGGGGGGGTGCCCGCTGTGAGACCCAAATGTCAAACTGTCACTGTAAGCCCAACAAGAACCACACGTTCATCTCTTTAGTGCCCAGGTTTTAAAGATGTCCTAGAAATCTGCATGTGATTGTTATGTGTGTGATTTATCTTCTCATCTGAAAGTATGGGAGCTAATTATGCCTTCTTTGTTAGAAAGTTATAATAATTTAGTGGTGAATGGTCCCAGTAAGTTCATAAATGTTAGCATCTACTACAATACTTCTATTTGGTTTAGTGAGACTGAGTTACCTTGTGATATATTGGTTTTCTAACCTGGGTTCCATGAATTGTTGGTGCTAAAAGGGCAATAATCCAAACGTCTCATAAATTGCTTGAGATTTAGAACTTTGGAAGGCTATTATTATAATTCAGCATAATACGAATACTCCTCTCTATATGGCAAGTACAGAACAGCATTATAGTGTTTAGAATAAGAAGATAAACTAAAGGGAAGGGAGCTGGCAAGAAGACACTTCTTCCTTGACATTTATATCCCGAGCTTCCCAGGCCGCTTAAGGGCTGCCTTCAGTCCAGAGTTGGACATGGGCAAACACATCAGCAAGAAAGAGCAGCCTTTGCTTACAACAGGGGAGCCATCATACGGAAGAAAGTCAGCAGTCCTGAGACTTTAACCTTCATATGAAGTAAAGGTCTCCAGGCAGCACAAAAGCCGCAAGACACTATTTTGCTGAGTGGGAGAGCCTGATTCTATGCAGGCACAAGAGCTTACTTCTGTATCACACCCCATTTAGATCCCCTGGCTTGTGCCCTTGAGCCCAAGGGAGCCAGTACCACAGATATGAACAGGGGAAGGGGCAGTGTGGCTGCAGGAGCTGGCCTCACACACAAGACAATAAAGAAAGGAAGAGCCAGAAGTTGGGATGTGCTTTCATTCACCAATTAAAAGAATAGATTGAGAAGAATATTTCCGCTATCACTAAGGTTTTATGTCATCCTTAAACCTACCTGCCATCAATAGAAAGCACTTTTAAAAGATCTCATTGCTTTTCAGAGGAGTTAATTACAGACCTGGATGCCATCTACTTCCATCTTCCTGCACTGGGCTCAGAAAGTCAATCTGTTCTCTTTTGGATACTGTCCCAAATGGAACTGTTTTATAGAGCTATCACTCTGTTAGACAACCACACTCACTGGGACCTCAACTGTTTCTTTTAGTGGGAGGAACAGAGCAGCTGCTTACTCTGGCTCTGACAGACAAGAGGAGGTTCTCAATACTCTAGTGATGTTTAAATAACCAATAGAAGTTGAAAACTAGGATTGATTTTTCTCGATGCAATATCCATAAGGGAATGTCTCTCATCATCTCAAGTTGAGGTCATGGTCATTACAACAGTTCTATGTAGTGTTGAATGCTCACCAGGAGTAGGAGATTGCCAAATCCTAACACATTTGCATGCTTAAAAGGAAAAACGGGAAGCAGTTTTTGTGAGCTCTAAAACTGTTATCACAGGGAAGGAAGGTTGCTGTGCCCATGCCTACTACAGCATAGGACCCAACCTCTCAGCTCAATGACAGAACAGTACAAATCCAACAGTGATCTTAAACACAACTAGCAAAGAGTGTAAACTCCCCTTTATTTCCCCATTTCATACCAAGGATGTACAAAATACACAAAATACAACTTTATACTTCGCTTTGACACCTTGATTAAATGAAAAG